CATTGATAACCTGAAGATCGATGGTTGGCGAATGTTTGATGTATAATGTGAGATCTTCATTCCAAGTTGGTTCCTTTGTCCTGACAAAAAAAACATTTAAAGCAAAGACTAATTCACTACTTAAGTTACATGTATGTAGTATACTTTGACAAGTTAAGACTAGAAAGTACATTTATTTGTCTTCCATCACAGAAAACACAAGCCAGATACAAGAAGAATGAGACCACATTGAATATACTCACCCCCATTTAACATTGCTTTTCACAATCTGACTATCCAATTGCAAAACCACATAAGGATCACTTTTTCCCTGAAAGCAGCAACTGGGCAACACATGAGAACACTTAAAACATAGATTTTATAATCCCTAAAAAGTGACCAAATGGTGCTGCATATATAGATGTAAATGTATAAACATTTCATCTAAAGGAAAGATATGCAGAAGAGAGGTTACCCATGGATCCATGGCAGGAAAATCATAACCCTTCTTAAGCTTTATAAACACCTGGCTATCATAAATCTCACGAAGAAATGACCTGACAAAAGAAGTGAAGGCTCCAGTTAAATTAAAGCACCCGATGTAAAAATCGTTACTAATCGTTACTAAGTAAATGAATAAATAGTACCTTTGCTTTAAGAGTTCCATAAATGGTAACATAGTTTGATTAATTACGAAACTAACCTTCCTATCTTCTGTAGGCTCAATAAGTCTATTTAATTCTTATATAAGATAACCGGTAGCATTTGTATCATATAAAGGCTTTCCAGGGGCATCTAAAGTAGAGATGCCTATTTATGGTAATTCCTCCACTATGGTTCGCATCAATGACACATGTACACAATGAGGGTATTTTTGTCATAAAGAAATTTATCAGAGGCTTTACATTTCTACTCCACTACCTAATGATCATACTTTATATCCTTGTTTCTTTTTGATTTAGTAAGAAAAGTCAAGAAAACAAGGCTTTCACATTAACTGCTGACTATTTACAAAAATGCCACTGAGATAGATAGATAGATAGATACCTGTTCATTGTGTTCATATATTTTCCTCTGTTGAAAATTCATAGGTATGGTGTTCTTAGCACCAAAGTTCACCATATCTAAAGCTCCTACACTCAAAACAAAAAGTAGGAATTTTATAAGCCCCTTAGTAGTTCCAATCTAGAATTTAAAAATGTAATATAAAGTTTTCAAGAATCACCTGTAACATATGAGGGAATAACTCAGAAAAACCCGTAACAGCTTTCATTATCACTATGAAAGTAACGGGGTCAAGGTGGATCGCTTTCACAAATTCAAAACCTTTCAACTACAAAATTAAAATTAAAGATTACTAACTCACGGAAGCAAATAAGGGATAAAATAGTTAGTCATTAATTAGTTAAAAAGAAAAAAAGAAAAACAGAAAAAGAACCTTGTTTTCTTTTCCGACTTTAGGGAGCTCTCCCAATACATATTCTTTAATTTTGGGATTTTCACATAAAGCTTCAAAATCCCCAGAAATGTTATGTGCTTCAGCATAATGTTCAATTGCTTGCTTATTTGGATTCACAACAGCAACAAGACACGCCTCAAAGCTGTTCCCAAAGATCCATATCTAAAATACCAACCATAAATTAAGTAACGTCTTAAATGGCTTTTTAGGTAAATAAGTTGAAATTGTGAGTATTTTAAGTAATGTACCAAATCAAGATCAGAAAAAAATCCAAATACATTCTCAAGATTTTCAACAGCGACATATTCTCCTTGTGAGAGCTTGAATATGTTTTTCTTGCGATCAATAATTTTCATGCTTCCATCAGGTTGCCACTCACCAATATCACCTAAACCATAAAATAATATAAGTTAAGATTTTTTTTTATTGTAAATTATATACCTGTATGGAACCAGCCATCAACTAGGACTTCTGTTGTAAGGTCTTCTCTTTTATAATAGCCTGCAAATAAAATCAAAAGATCACTATGATTCCCTGTGTTATGTATCTTCTTAGTTCTAAATAGTTCACCAAGAAAGTCGAGAAATAAACTTAAGCGGGAGCAGGATCAAGAATCAAACATAAAACAAAAAAAAAAAAGATGTTTAGAATCACTCAGTTGTATCTTAGCACCGAATATAATTGAAGAGCTGTCATTGACATTATATGTTACTAAATGAAAATAGAAATATGCCTTAATGGATAAAAGATCTAAAGTATGAACCCCAAATAGTATGCATTACCTTCATCAACCACAGGTTCCACATGGTTTTCATCATCAACAAGTGAATTCTTTCTTTTTTCACATTAATTGTTGCCTGAATAAGGGCATTATACCTTCAAAGAATCAACAAATGTGAGTCACAAAAGTCAACATCTTCAATCACCAAGTCATTGTCATCAATAAATACATTCCGTAACATTTAAAAAAAGGTAAAAAGAAAGTCTTTTTTTTTCATTAAGAAAAAACAACATATCTCAAAAGAAAGTCTAACCTCCCACTTTCTTGGACTTGAAGAGTGATGATGCTCGATAATGCAATGTGCACAAGCTTCACATTCCCACACGAATGTTAAACCAGAGAGAGGATCAGCTGCATTGATCAGAAAAACCTAAAGAATTTGAAGTTTGAATGATTCTTGAAAGAAAAATAAATGAAATAAAAGAATTGAAACCCATAAAGAGTATAATAATACCTTTGAATATGTGGTTGAAAACACATAAACAGTCACAATCTTAAAATCCTTTGTATGTCTGATGTTAACATGCACATTTTCTTCAGGTTCTTCTAAGAGTATCACATCTTCATCCTTTGATCCAAGCATGCTACAATATATCCTAAAATCATACAAGATATATACAAAGTTTAAATTAAATATGAGATATAGAAATTAGAAAAAGTTGTATATAATTATATAGGATACCTGTAGGGCTTCTTTTTTTGATCAGTGACAACATATAGCAATGCTTGACCCCCTTTAGCCCATGCCACATTACATACCCAATCAGCTTGTGGCTTACTACAGAGAGGACCTAAATTCAAATCTCTAACACATAATTTGAAGAAATCGTTGCCTTTATCATACATGGTGTATGCAATGAATCGATGATCAGGTGAGACTTCTGATACCTCTTCATATGCATAACCTAAATCAAGTCATGTTAATAGATTAAATGAAGTGGAAGAGAATTAGAGATCGATGAGAGATGTTGAAATGATACTGGATTTGGAATTACCCCCAAATCTTTCTGCTTCTTGATTGTAATCGATGAGTTTTTGTTCAATCCTCTTCCTGGAGATCAAATCGAACCCACCTGTTGGACTTTTATGTTAAATGAACTCTTCGTTTAGGCTAGCTAATCTCCTACAGAGTACTGGGTATTGTTTCCCTTCCTCTACTCTCCTGTAATACAACCTGAATTCCACCTCCAAATTGCCAAAGAAGAAAACAGAATTTGAATTCAGATCCAAAAGAAATCAACAAGCTTCAGATGAAGTGCAAATGGAAATTGAAGGTACCAGGGCCCCCAGCGAAATGGAGGAGTGGAGAGCTGAGAAGACATGCGGGATGCCATTTCTGATTGGAGTTTGGATTGAAGGCGATCGGTTTCTGCTAAAACAGCTTCAGTATACTTCTCTTCTTGTTCCATGTATACGTCCATGTGACGCATCGCTACTTTATCGTTGAGATTGGACATCCAGCTTCAATAAACCAAATACCTTTATTGTTACTTTTAAGAATGTTCAGGGGAGAAGTAGAAGGGCAGAGATAGAAGGAGACAGCGAGGGAGGGCGACATACGACAACGACGAGGAGAGAATGAGGAGAGTAAGGAGTCACATAACCTTCAATCGAAGGTGTTTTGAGTGAGAGATGCCGCTGGATCTCTCTGAACAATTTATTGAGATGTGGTTCAAAGCCCTAGTTCTTTTCGTCGAATGGCGCTGATGAAAACATACGGAGACTTGGCGACATCGTGGATAGAGAAGAGTAGTGTCTGATGGCGCTGATGAAAACATACAAGACAAACACTCTTTACAGAATCCATGGCCGCTTAGAGCTGATGGGGTTCGATGCTGGTGATGGCGGCTTAGGGCTTGCAAAGAGAAGGGAGAGAGTGTGCGGATCAAGGTACAGGAAGACGGGCTTAGGCGGGTGTTTAATTTTTTGGGGTTCGATGCTGGTGATGCTGGTGATGGCGGCTTAGGGCCAGAATTAGGGTTCTTTGTTAGAGGATTGTAGAAGGAGAAGAAGCATTAGGCGGGTGTTTAATTTTTTGGGATTTCATTTCCCACCATCGCCGATTGAAAAAAAAGCGAGAACGCGCCTTCCTAAAAAAAATATAAAACGACATCTTTACACGATACGCTTTTTATGGTAGGTGCCCTCCGTGTTTTCCTTTTTTTTTTTGGACATTAATTTTAGGGCGCGCAAAAAATGCGTGTCTTCTATCCTTCACATTTTGCAAAGCTGACATTATTTTTCAGGGCACACACAAATGCGTGTCCTCTGTCAGCGCGTGTCGTTGTTTGCGCGTCATTAAAGGGCTGTTTTCTAGTAGTGTGAAGAGTCATAACTATTAGAATGCAAGTGCTATATAAATATGTCCTTTGGCTTAATTTTCACTTTTCTATATTTTTGTTTCATCACAAAAAATGCATGATGTTATGTTCATGAGAGAAGATTGTAGGATTGTTGCCTACATCTAGATTCAACTTCTAGATTCAAGGAGGTTCTGAGAGGGTCTTAGTCAGTCAACCCAACAATGAATTTTTTTTTCCGATATAAGAAATAGGCGACTTAGCTAAATCGATTATTAGAAAATATCTAAGCAAACCATTTGTCCTTATTTCAACAAAGGAAGCACAAGCTATGGACATATTTGCGACCAAAAAACGCTTTCTCTCTCTACAATTCTCTCTGATCGGCGGTGCGTTTTTTGCTTGATTCGTCGTTGTTGCTTCACCGGTGAGATTTTTCGTCTCATTGTTGAAGTATTTTCTCATCATTTCCGTTGTTGCGATGGGAGCTTCTTCTAAGCAGGATCGATTGAAGGATGTGAAGGTTAAGCCTCCTGATAAAGGTGTGGTGGGTCGATTTGTGCGAACTGAGGTTGATTTAAGCGATGTTATTCCTCCTGGGGTTGTTGATCAGTCTTCGGCTACTATCTATCGTACTCGACGAAAACCAAGTGCTACTGGAGCTGTTGTGTCGGGTATTGGGAAAGCGGAGTGGAAATTGGAGGGTTTGCATAAAGCTAGGAAACCTAATCGGGGCGATTCTCTTCTCAGAACTCCCATGGATGCTGAGGATTACTATGTGGATGATGTTACAGAAGAAGAAAGGGAGGATGCTTCGGAATCTGATGGTGTGTGGGAATCCGATTCTAGTGCTTCTAGGGTTGCTTGTCAAGCTTCGATCAAGAGTTCTAGTTCCAATGTTATGGATGAAGTGACCAAGGTTTTGCCTCCGATCATTCTAGAGGATTCTATTCCTTCAGGTAACACTGCAAATTTATCTAAGAATTGGGAAATTCCTAAGGATGCGGTTGTGTTTTCTAGCCCTAATTCTGATGTTAATCATGTGAAGAGTCATATGATTAATGTTAGTCCTCCTATTGCTGTTAGTATTGATTCTTCACCTGAGATGAATAAGAATGGTGTTCAGGTTGAGGTTATTGGTATTTCTATAAAGAGTAAGGAGATGAATGAAGAGGAAAAAGGGACGGATGATACAGAGAATGAGTTTATACCTGGTATTGGGTTTAAATTTCTAAGTGATGAGACTATGGAAAGGGAGAATTCAGTTGAGAATAATGATGATTTAGATTATCTGAATAAATCAAATAAATGAGATGATAGTGGTAATTTGGTGGTTGATTCTGATGTTGATTTGAGTAAAGAAGAAGGGGAGATCAAGGATAATAATCCACAGAATTTAAGCTCTGATATGCATTTGTCTTTGAAGAATACTGCCACGGTTATTAATAGCATCAACCTGGAGCCTTCTATTCTAGGTGATGCTAGTAAGGGAAGGCAGGATATGGATGCTTCTAATTATGAAGGAGAGAAAATTTTGATTGATGTTAAGGATAAAGTTGATTCTGGTCAGAAGATATCATATGCTGGAGCTCTAAATGGTAGAACTCATAAAGGGAAGTTGCAAGTTAAGTTTATTCCTCCGACTGATGGATCTGATGAGGGGCCTGTTGTTTTGCCAATTGATAATCTGAAGAAGGCTAGTATTCCTTTTATGAATACCTTGTATGGTTATTTGCTTGACAAGAAGATTGGGTTTCCAGTGATTAGTGCAGAAGTTAGGAAAATGTGGAAGAATATGGGTCTTGAAGATGTTTTCATGAATAGTAAAGGTTTCTTATTCTTTAAATTCAACTCAGAACAAGGAATGAGGCAGATATTAGATAATAGCCCTTGGATTATTCTCAATAAATATTCCTTGTTTATTCAGCGGTGGCGACCGGGGTTGGCTCTCACTAAGGAATCCCATAAAAGTGTTCCTGTTTGGATCAAGATTTTTGATCTTCCATTGGAAGCGTGGAGTGCTGAGAATCTTTGCATCATTGCTAGTAAGATTGGTATTGCTTTGGCTTTTGATTCTTTCACAGAAGATATGTGTATTGAGCATAAGGGGAGAAGTGCTTATGCGAGGATCCTAGTTGATATGTCGGCTGATAAAAAGTGGAAAGATAGTATTGATGTTGGTACTTGGGATTTTGATTTGGATAAAGCTGTTATTCAAAATTTTGTTGTTGAATATGCGTGGCGACCTTCGCGTTGTTCCTCCTGTAAAGTATATGGGCATGATGATTCTATATGTTTGAATGTTATAAATGGGAAAAATGTTGCTGTCAAGAGTGATATTCAGGATGTGATTGATAAAGATGGTGAGGGGTACACTATGGTCACGAAAAAAGCTGGAAATGCAGGGACTGCTGCTGTGAAGGGGTACGGTACAGGTGATGTTTAGGCCAATGTTTCTGGAACCAAAGGTAGTAATTGGAATGGTGCGAATAACAAAATAGGAAGCTATAATAGTTGTAATAAGGGTAATAAAGGCTGGAATAACAGAAGTCATAGTGGGAATTGGAATAGGGGGAGTGTTAGCCATTGGAATCATCAAAAGAACCAGGAGTTTGTTGCTGCTAATAATAAACCTTTCATTGTAGATAAGCAGGGGCATAATGGGAAAGAGAGTGTGGATTCTGGGAAAAAAGAGGAAAAAGTGGAGAAGGGAAAGGGTATGAAGGGTAGCCAAAAGGAGAACAATTTTGTTAATACAGTGAATCGGTTTGCTGTTTTAAGTGATATTACTAATGAAATTGTGGACAGGTTAGAGGATGATTTTATGAGCCAGCGAGTTGATTCTTCTAAGTCTGATTCTGGTGGGCTGGAAAATTCAATTCATATTGATCCAGGTCCGAGTTATGTTAATTCTCATGGGGTTAATTATGTTATTAACTCCAAAGGAGATTCTAAAATGAAGAAGTTACCCTCTGAAGTTAGTAATAAGAAGTTGGAGGGTGAGGGAATGGAATGTTCTAATCAGGTTCGTGATGGGATTAGTCCAAAAAATATGGTTATCTCTCATGATGTGTGATCTGTTTGGTAGAGGTGTTGTGCAGTTTTGGATAGGGTTGTTGGAGCTTTGTTGGTGGTTAAATAATTTGGTTTGGTGGTGCTACTCCAGTTTTTTAAGGTTATGGATTTGGTTCCGTATGAGGAAGTCTTTTTATATTTGGTTTATGCCTTCTGTTTTATGGTCTCGTAGATTGAGTCTTTTTTGGGATTGTCTTATTGAGTTGTTTTTTGTTTGGTTTATGAGTTTGGTGTTTGGGAACTTTGTTCTCAAGATAGGTGGTAGAGTGGTTTGTCTTATGGTTGAGGAGTTTGTTTGGGCTAAGGGTTCCTTTTTTTGGGCTAGAGTTTGGTATGTTGGCAGTAGTAGGAAATGGCTAAGCATGTGGATTTGGATAGGTTGGAGTGGGTTTAGCCTTTGGTTTGGTTTCTGTGGGTTATAAGTTGTTTTTATTTTTTCGTTGTAATTCTTTTATTCTTTATTAATAAAGTTTACCTGAGACTTTTGTCTCTTTCAAAAAAAAAAAAAACAAAGGAAGCACAAGCCTTTTCGATTTTTTTGTCTTGGTCCCAATTCAAATAGAGTTCAGGTTTGAATTTCATAGATAATATAGATGAGATTGTTTATAACGATAGACAAATGAAAGATTTTTTCAAGATTCTTATTCATCTACTTTTTATTTTGAAAATGGGTTGTTTGAACTTGAAAATTAACTCATAGAAATTGAATAAGTAACAAGGAGCTAATTATCCTTATGGATAGTGATATAATCACATCCTTGTTTCATTGCTTAATTGATTTTGTTTATGTTTTCAACTTTTCATACACCGCTTCTAACATGAGATACTTTCAATCAAATTCTCTTGCACATAACCTTTCGTTCACTCATTTTTTATATAACGGGGACATTGATTTTGAAAGTTTATTACTGAGAATAAAAAACCAACCGAAAGTACTCTAATTTCAACAACATATACTCCTCCCATAGAACCATCTGTTTGATTCCTGACCAAACACATTACAATCTATTATGTCAATGCACTGCCTTAACAAACAAAAGCACAAACATATACAAACGAATCCATAAAACATAAACACAATAAAATGATAAATGCATGCAAAAACCTTTCTTTACCATATATCTTTGTTCCTCATATGATCAAGTCAACAAAACATTGACAAGTTTGAAGTTTGTTTTGATCTACACTGTATGTAGTTAGTCTGTACACACAACTAACCATTTACACAACATCTATCTATCGCCATTTACATGGATGATGAGGTTCAGATATCATATATCACTTTCTAAAATCCAAAACAAAAACACTGTTGTTATTGGTACACGCGGCAATCCTATCACCTTCCTTGTTCCAACACACCTCAAATATACTCCCGTTGCTATTATACGATTTTACAATCTTCCCATCTTTTACTGACCATATGTGCAAAAACTTATCCATCGACCCACTCGCCAAATACTCCCCATCTGGACTAAACGACAACGTATGCACACAATCCCTGTTTTAATTTTTATTTTTAAATCAATCAACACATTAATTAATATATCCATAAATTCTATAATTAATTAATACCTGTGCCCATTCATGTTTACCACTATTCTTCCATATTCTACATCCCATAGATTTATTGTCGAGTCAAATGATGCACTGCAAATTAATTAATTTACTTAGGATAAATGGTAAATTAAAGTAAATTAATAATTTGTTAATTGTTATACGTACCTTGCCAACAATAGCTTTTTGTTCGGATTAATGGTGCCTGACCCAGTTGGACTCCATCTCACTGAGTATATCTCCTGTTCATGTTCATTCAGTTAATTAGTAACAAATTCAGATTAATAACCACAAATTATTACTCAAAATGAATCACCTTAGTATGATATCTTAGATCATGAATGTGTTTCTCCTGCTTCATACTCCAAATCTAAACAAAAATAAAATTATTATTATTATTATTATTTGAATTCAAGTAAAGTATATGAAAAAGATGAATAATGGTTGTAAATCGACAAATATATAACCTTTGCAGTGGTGTCATCAGAACACGAAGCCAATAGTGAACCTGTTGGGTCCCACTTCACACAATTAACTTCACCCTAAAACCGAAAAAAAGTTGATCAAAACATCAAAAATACTTCTTCCAAAATCTCATTAAAATATATATATATATATATATATATATATATATATATATATATATATATATATATAACAAACCTGATGCCCAGAAAAGATTTTAACAGGGTGATTTTCACCAATCTTGCAAACATGAATCATGTGATCAGTTGAGCTCGATGCAAATGAGTAATTATTCCGCCAATCAACATCAAGAATAGGACCTATAATACATATTATTTTCATTCCTTGGAGGGCAATTACGTCATTCAACGTACACTAGATAAATAAAATAAAATAAAATAAAAATAAAACCTGAATGGAATTTGAATTGTTGACTTCCATAATCTTTCTTTTCCCATACAATTGCAGTTTCATCTTTGCTTCCAGTAAGAAGGTAATCACCCTTTTGATTCCACTTAATACAATATACAGGTCCTTTATGCTTGATTAAAGTCCTCTTTAACTCACCATTTGTACTCCAAATTCTAGCTTTTCCATCAATGGAACCAGTGGCAAGAAGGGTTCCATCCATCTTTTTTTTTTTAAAAAAAAACAATATTATTTTCAACAAATGAAAAAAAAAATAATAATAAAGATTGTAATGAAATGCTTACAAGACTTACATTCCATTGAAGTGTTGTAACATCTTTGTTTTTTTCTTTTGTTCTACCTTTAGAATGCTTTAATTCAACTGATTTAATAGGCCCATGTTGTAAACTATATCTGTCATTACTCCTCTCTGGAATTGTCCAAATCCTACCTGTAGAATCTCCAGACCTAAATATTAAACAATAAAAGATCATCAAATTGCATGAAATGGAAATGTACTTTATTTTTTACTTATAATAACAATATAGTTACATTTTTAAATAAAAGTACAATGTCTATATTTGTAACAACTCACACTGATGCAAGAAGTGAGCAAGATGGATGCCAAGCACAGTCTAGAACTGCATCTGTGTGTCCTTTCAAGTTCAAAACCTCTGATTTGAGAATCCTCACACGAGTTTGAGGTGTTGATGAGGTAGAAATATCCATTTGTGTGGGTCCTACAAATAGAAAGATTAGATATTACATATATATATGCCACTAATATTGTCAAATGAAACATGGATATGGTTTTTATGGATGCAATTTGTTCAAACTGAAATGAGATATTCAAGAAACTTACCTCTTTGCAGGTTTTGTACATTTTCCTCTTCTTCTTCTTCTTCATCATCTATGATCAATTTTCGAAGTTTCCTTTTGATTGGCTTATCCTTAACATCTTTCTCTTTCTCCCCGCTTTCTTTCTCCTTTTGTTTAGCTTTCCTTCTCTCTTGTACGATTTGTCTTAGTTGGTTGACATCTTTAGTGAGGAGATCGAATGGTTGGATGAATGAGAAATCTTCATCTACATCTGCGTCATTCTGGAAATATTGAAAAAAGATGATCATCATTGTAATAGATAAGAGGAAATAAGAGAAGAACAGGTGAAGAGGTGAAGACGTGAAGAGTTAGCATACTGACATCGTTCAAATTTGCTTCCATTTCAAGATATTGAATCCCTTTTTGTACAATAGTAACGAGGGCTCCACGTGGAACCTTAGCTCCATCAATGGTGGACTTGTTAATAGCTGCCTCGAATCCAAAATTGAAGGCTGTATGTTGAAAACCTGAGAGTAAAATCAGCAACTAATTATCAATACTTCGTCGATCAACTACTTAAAAACCCTAGAAAATTCCTTTTAAAGAAAACATAAAATTAACACTCTGCATTATCGAAAATTCCGAAACGAAATGAATTACTGAAATTCGAATGTCCGGAACTTCAAATTACATGTTCTAAAACTAAAGAATGTGTTCGATTAGAGATTTTCCGACAAAGAAGAAGAAAGAAAAGACGAAACCAACTTGTAATCATCGACAAACAGAAAACCCCTGCATGAATGAATGAACATGAGTGTGCTTCGTCTATCTAAATGTATATGCATGTGTATAACCACGGAGAATTACCTGATTCAGTAAGGTAACGGTGGACAATGTAATTCAATTCGGCGGCAGTGATAGAGTTCATGTTTCTTGGGGAATTTGGTACGAATGAAGATGAAAGAAGGGGGCAATTGGATTAAAAAGTAGCCACAGTTTCAGAAATGGAATGAAAGAATCGTTTCTTGCTTCTTCTTCGTCGATTATGAACCATGCCGGAAAAATTGCGAGCATTCAGTTGTGAGGTGTGACGTCGGGGACCTCGTTTCCTGTTCTAATATACCGGCGAAACCCCGTGATGGCAACCAACTGAACTGAACGATGCAAGAAATAATTTGACAGTCTATTCAAATGGAGTCCATCTTTTTTCCACTTGTGTACATGCATACACCCTCCAAGAAAAAGGAAATGCTAACAATTAACCTTTAGTTTTGAGTAGTTTAGGTTTTTGTCCCTCTGGTGGTATAATGTTTTCTTTTTTTTTTAAATATCATCCAAAAAGTAATATTTTTGGTTTTCGGTTTTTGGGGTATGATTTTTTCAACTTTTTGGTTATTGAATGATTTGAATCGTCAAACTCAAGAATCCAACGATTAAATATTTAAAAATACCATTTTAACATTATCTTTTTTGTTTATAAGAATAATAATAAGTATTATTATTAAGGTTTGTAATTAGAAGAAAGTTTAATTAAGTTAGAATTTGTTAAAAATCGGTTTAATTTAAATATCGTTATTTTGGTCTGGCAAATCAGTTGTTTACTTATTTATCTAGTATATACGGCCTCAATAAAAGTAATGTCTTAATTCACTGGTAATATATGACCAAGTAATAAATTAAGTTAAAAATAAATAAATAAATAAATAAATAAATAAAAATCGAAGTAAAAACCTTACCATGTTGGCACGATTATGACTCTATTAAAGTTTTAGTTTGTAGGGTTTTAAAGGAACGATAATGCTTCTAAAATATATATATTCACTAAATTATTGCTATTTTATCATAAATTATTTGAGTAAATTTCAAAATGTAGTCCTTGTGCTTTATATGAAATCAAATGTTCAATCCAAAAATTAAAATTATTACATTTTCGTTCTTAAGTTTGCATGTTGTTACGAAGATGGTCCATTTGCTTCACTCAAAATCTCAAGTTCACTCCAAATTTTGAGATCATTTTATATAGTCCAATGACAATATCTACACGAAATACAAAATCTAAGAACGACAAATATAGAACTGAACTTCAGATTTTTGATAAAGTACAAGGACCATTCTTGTAATTTATTATAATTATTCTATTTGAAGTTGAAGCATGTCATTGGGTTTGAAAAAGGAGATTTGCTTCTTGCTTCGCTACTTCCAATTTTAGACTTCAACCGAATAACAGTCTTCTTAGTTCTTCCAACCAAAATTAAATATTATTGTAACTGACTTTGACAACTCAACTACCTTTAACTATTGGTTTCTTCTCTGTTTCCACATTCACGAAATCTTTCTTTGTTGTTGTTCTTTTTTCAAACGGCAAAAAAATTATTAATAATAATAATTGGCTTTATTTTTTTTTACGAAGAATAGAAAACGAAAATAGGGTCTTTAATCCATTTGATCCAACTGGCTTTATTTTTACAGTATCTGCTTGAAACCAAAAATAATAATAACAAATAAATAAATAAATAACAAATAAAAAATTGGGATACAATTTTGTCGAACAACACGTCTTTCTTTGGTTTGGTGGTATTAAAAATAGAAAAAGTTCTTAACATCCGAATCGACAAAAAAAAATGCCAATGCCTTTTTTGAGGCACTTGCAAAGCCGAAAACAATGTCTTTGTTTGTTGTAGACTTGTAGTTGTGGAAAAGGAAAATAAGAAAACTCTAGTATTTTAGAACAAAGAAAAAGGATGTGTAGGATTGTTCTCTTTCATTGTTATTTTGAAATAGCTGAAAAACTAATTGTTAGAGATAAAAAATAATATTGGTTTTTTTTTTATTTTATAAAAGTGTTTATTAACTTATGTGGTAAAAATAATTTTTTTTAAAAATGTTTGAATTAACTTATGTACTGACCATAAGGTATACGGTTATAAAACATTAAAGAAAAATGTTTCAACTAACTTGCATATGTATTATAATCATTTCAGGAGTGTAACTTAAAAAATCCCTTTTGATGATAGTAAAAGAAAGATAAAAAACTATTTTCAAAAACAATGTTTTTATTTCTCGAACATTTTTTAAGGCTAATGAGAGTGAAGTGTAGTATATCCTAGGTGCCATGCTTTTGTTACGGTGAACAAATGGCATGACAATTGTGGCAAAGAGAATGCCAATTTTCTCTCTTCTCCTTTCTTTCTTTATTTGTCATTTTCAATCTTTTTTTTTCTTGCCATATCTTTTTACCATGAACGCCAAGAATTTTTCCAAATTTTGAAGTAGGTGTTGTCGAATTGAAGTAAGAATTGTCGGTGCATGAAAAATAGATAATAAAAAAAATCAAAAAATTTTCCACTGCATACAGGAAAAATAGGTGTTGCCGGTGCAATACCGGACACCACTATAGATCCGCCCCTGGCGCGAGTGAGGTTAAGGAGTTTTGTCATGCTATGTCTATAACACCACTCCCTCAGCCTAAATTTATTGATTTTTTGGGAAACAAAGAATTCAATAAACATTTTTCAATTTCAAACTAGACGACCCCTATCCTATATCCCATGTTACCAACTGGTATACTTGAAATAATTTAAAAAAGAAATCTATAAATTTGTTAAAACGTTAGTTTCAATAGTTTTTCAGAAATACAACCTATAATTTACCTTTTAATTAATCTAAAAAACTAGAAAAATAAGTTAATTGTATCGTGATTTGTGCCAAGTATAACGTAAAGGTTATTCAGTCTCTCGTTATCTGTCGCTCACATTCACTGTCTGCATCTCTCCCTCAACGTCCACAGACTTCCCTCAACATCGTTGTCTCCTTGCATCTCAAGCTTGTTACTCCCCAACGATGGATTATTGTGTGGGTGACAACAATTGTGGTCCCACTTTCTTTATTTACTTTTGGAATGCAAAGTTAATTGGCACAATTGTATCAATTATTTTAGTACGTGCATCTCAAATGATAATGATTTGATGAACAAATTTTCAGATATCATCCTTTAGTACAAAACTTTCAGTTTGTACACGTTAACGATGTGCATATATGCCGTCCATATTAGCATACATAAAAGACACTTGTATACTTATATTCGATTTTAAGAGAAATGGTCCATTTGGTCGCGACAGTTTCATTATACAACCCTTGGCCCTTGGGTACCCATTCCATTACTCGTTCTTAATAATTTGACCCAAATGGAAAAAAACAAAAAGGTATTATATTTTGAATTTTTTTTATGGATGAATTACATTAAGAAAATTTACTTGTCAATTTCTAGTAGTACAAGAAACCCGGTTAACAAAAGCAAATTTTTTTTAAGTAGTTCGGGTTGGCGGGTAAGAATACATTGACGGATTGACCCAATCCATATATGTATCCAGGTTGGCGGGTTACAGGTTCGTGAGTTGGAAACATCAACCCGTATACGACCCACATAACTTGTGTCATACATGTTTGTAGGTTTGCAGGTTAGTTTCGGGTTAAGTTTTCATATATCAAATTTATATGGATTATACATGTCTCTAAAGTTAATTACTAATTAGCATTGAAATATATGAACTCAATAGAAACAATGTTGGTGAGAAAGTGACAAATTACTAAAACATGTATCCATACAAAATTTATGACTTCATTTTTTCAGTGGCTACAATGAAATAGACAATCAAATCTCAATTAATTAATAAATATTAAATATATTTTTTAAATCTTATATATTTGGCGGGTTGGTGGGTTAGACATTTCAATCCAAACCCATTTATTTTCGGGTTGGGTTCGTATCGGATTTCATATGTCACCTACTGAAAACTGAAATATGAAATTATAGATTTTATTTGTGTATAAATGTTCAGCAAACTACTTGGAATATTTTAAATGTACAAACATACAAAAAAAAAGTTAAAAAATCGAAGAAGCAAAAATATTTTAAAAAAACTACTGAAAAAGAAGCTTTTTATTTAAAATAAATATTTAAGTTCGTATTCTCGAAAGAAATTTTGTTTATTTCATACTTTTTCTTGAAAACTTTTATGAGTTATCATCAAAATCAGACACCAGTTGGTCGAAATATGTTGAATAATAAAATAAATTGTTTTGAGTCAATTCAAATAGAATATAAACTGCTAACCAAGAGTCTATGTGAGTCATTCTATATTTCACATAGTGTCACACAAATATTTATATTAACCATATAACAAAATTTTATATAACTTAGATATCACAATTCAACCAATTCTAGTTCATCATATTAGTGGACTTTGGTTGTTAGGCTTTATTATTGTTGTATTTGTCCATGTATTGGCCCATCCGATTGGTATGTGGCCTATTATATTGTTTTCCATATATATTCATTATTGAATGAGAAGAGGTTTTACGGGGAAAATATTCTGATTACATAGTATCAAAGCCAAAATCCTAAAATCGTCCCTCAACCCTAATTGTCGGCTTCTTCTAGCCGTCGACAGTCTTCCTTCTCTCATTCATCTCGTTCTGCTTCTCTCTCTATCTCCCTCTCTCTCGTTATCATGGTGACATCTACTGTTGTTCCCTCATCTTCTGATAAGCCCTACGGTATCACAAACATCAAGGCTTACATCCCATTCATGCTTGATCTGGAACGTATGAACTATGATGCATGGCATGATGTGTTTGAAACCCATTGTGTCGCTTTTAGTGTTAATGATCATCTCAATCCTCCAAACGACAAAGCTGCTGACACATCTGACAAAAAGGAATGGAATTGTGTTGATGCTCTTGTGAAGATATGGATCTTTGGCACTATGACTCAATCTTTGACCCAGAAGATAAACAAGAAGAACCAAACAGTAGCTGACTTATGGAGGGCCCTGGAAAACCTGTTTCGTGACAACAAGGATGCAAGAGCCATGCAGCTTGTGTGTAACATCCCGTTTAAAATATAGGGATTTAAATAATAAACTCGGG